AGATACTCTCTCTGGTGTGATTGAACTGTATTTATAGATACTCTCTCTGATGTGATTGGACTGTATTTGTAGATGCTCTCTCTATTTTAGCTGGACTGTAATTGTAGATACTCTCTCTTCTGTAGCTGGATTTGTTAGATACTCGGATCCAGAAATTTTTTCCAGGGGGGAGGTCCACCATAGTCAAAAAAAATTTTCAACATAGAAATTTCTTGACAAGCAAAAAAGGGGAGGGGAGTTAGTCATTTACTTTTAAAACTTCATAGCAGGACTTTTCATACCAATTTCTTATAGATCTGTGTTTTTGAGGAGGGGTCTGCATTTTCTATGGGTGTCCAAGGTCACTTTTACCATACTTGGTTTAGTATATACATTTAATAGCTCTGCAAATTCCAGATTCCAGGGGATGGGGGGGGGGGGGGGGGTCGGGGTCCTGCCCCCCCCCCCCCCCCTTAAGCTGGGCATGTCATATTTGTATGGAAACATTCTCAAGTATTGTGATTATACAAACTTGTGGGATAAGGATGGGCAACTATGAAAAATTATTAAAATTCTTCTTCTCAAGAACAAAATACCCATTTATATGAAAGCACTCATTACATGATATTGATTCTAGTTTTTAAACCATGAAGACCCCTTAGCATTATGGCCCATGGGCCTCTTGTTTGATAATGTAACAATTAAAAGCAATTTTTTTAGAATATACATTAGTGACAAATTTGTTTTTTACCTGGCAATGGAAAACAAAAAGGCATGAACACTAAATACTTTAACCATAAACTGGTGCAGTTGTGTTTTTCTCCCTTACCCCCACCCCTCCACTTTTTAAATTCTCTGTGCAAGACTCGTTGCATTTTATGCCATGATAAAAAGATTTAGTACAACTTCCATTGTTTTAAAATCCTACTTTCGGGCCATTTTTCAGGGTGGCTGAGCTTGACAACAGATCAGTATTAACCATAATCAATCACTGAGTGATTGCTCTATTCCCTACGTAAAATGGAGAGATTAATTCAGATTATTTATTGTTTTGAGTGCACCATGTATCATCACATAGGGAAAAAATTGGCACAAAATCCTTTTCCTGTGAGACAGTTAGTGATAGAGTGAGTGATTTAATGCGTTGTTGACTACAAAAGCGGGGACTCCGTGAGAAATAACTCCGAAGAGCGGTGTGGGATAGAGGTTTAATATCGCGGAGGTTGTCACAGATTCTCACCTTGCGTCCTCTCTCTCGTCTGGAGTAAAACAATTATTCTCTCTGCTCATGCGAGAAATATATTTTGTATTGATGATGAGATGAATTATTAATCAACTTATTCAGAGAACAATCAATATCTAACTTCATTATGATAAACCACTTATAGCTTTTAACACCAGCAAGACCAATATCTCCCCACAAGACCAATATCGCCCTGCAATATCTGTCATTCCTCATGATGAGAAAAGTTGTTTTCTTGCTCCTTGTCCAGTTTTGGAAATATGATTTGTTTTGCATTTGCTTTGCATAAAATTTGTGAAAGTGTTGATATATTTGCATTAACTGAATGGACGCAGCGTCAGAACTTGACAACATTTTGGAACATGCAAAAACAAAATATTATTATTGTGCTATTTTCAAATATGGCTACTTTCTTGATGTAATTTTTAATTAAGCGTTCTTTGTTTACACGGCGTCGTTGGACTTTGGCGTCATTGTCATTATTGTTGAGAGCCTGCTTATTCATTAGTTGTTGTTTTTGAATACACTCTTTAAAGTGTTTCCAAAAACACAGTCAATTCCACCTAGGTTGTTTGCTCCTAGTTGTTTTTTTTTTCTTATTGGACATTGCAGTCTTTATACGTAGGTCATTTAGCTCCAGGCTTGTTTCAATCGTTTGTTTAATTAACATTACCGGTACTAATTGAGAATTTTTTTTACTCCTTTTGAGATGCCACCAATTGCCACTGGAGGGGTGTAAATTTAGACCTGTCCTCGGGAATCGTTTTTTATATCCTAAAAATTAGTAACAGAGTAAAATTTTCTGGAAGAAAAAATATAGAATATCACTGTACTATATTGTTGGGGGAGTTCAGTTTGTTGGTAATCTAACACAGATTATTACAGTAACTGTAAATGAATGTGAAATCCTCCATTGTAGGATTAACAACATAGCAACACCCCCCCAACTACACTGTGACACTAAACTACTACAAACTACTACAATTTATATATATTATATATATTGATATGTACTAGTATGGTTAAAAAATTGGATGCTGCTAAGTGGCAAATTTACATCGGGAAGCAGCAAAGTGCTCAATCAACCTATTGCCAATGCACGGAAAGTTCAGTATAGGTAAACACAATTATACAATATAAACAAACGGTCAACATGTTATGTACTTTCTATTCATTTTTCCAAGATTATCTAGTAAAATTGTACTATTGTAAGAAAGAAAAATAAAAGTTCAAGGTCACATGCACAAAAAGTATAAAATTCAAGGTCACGTCTACAAAATTGCAAATATGCACTCAAAAAAAATATTGGTGTTTTAATTTTGCAAGCTCACTTACATATTGGCATCAGAGATTCTGTGTTCTGGTTAAGAAAATCTGAACAGTCACAAAGAGTTACGGAGCTACAGATCCAAGCATTGTGCTTCACACTCATAAAAATGTCAAAAATCCTGTCAAATTTATGAAATTAATTCCATATCCAACTACAAAACATACTGAATACCTTCTTTATCTTCATTTCCATATTTCCATGAATAAAAACCATATGTAATATCACATGTATTTAAAAGATACAGTATATGTGTTCTAACATTGTTACTTGTATTTAAATTGAACCTTTTTGCTCTGATACTAAGTCTTGTTTCAGAAAGAATGCATGCTATTTCCTAATATAAAATATAAGCTTAACATCTCTTGTAAAATAATTGATTTTGAATACTTTTATTGATTTTTTTTTTCTCCAACAAAAAAAGATGTCTAATGCTAAAGACCTCAGGCAAACAAGACAAAAAAAAAGAACAGTTACACAAATTGAAACTTCATGATCAGGTGGAAGCATTTCTACACAATAATTTCTAGCTAATTAAAAAAAAATCTTTTTTTCATCCATATTTCAAAACAGTTTTCTCATGTATTTTTTAAAGAATTTAATTGAATCTTTAAAAATAAATATGGATATAAATAAATATTATAACCTAAGTTTGGGGAAAAGAAGTAAACTGTAACAGTTATAGTCTGTAGTCTGTATACCCGGTAAGCAATTTGGGTTTTAAATACAATCTACTGTATCATAATTAAAAGAGTATGGCTTCACCTTAAGCAAGAATGTAGTGAATACTTTTAATCTTACTTATCTTTAGATAGAATATGATACCTTGATCATAGCTAAAATGATTTAATTACATAGCCACAAAAGCAAAATCAATTTTTCATTTCACTCATATAAAGGAAGAGAGTGCACATGCGGTAGAATTGTGTATCTGTTATTGAACCATCACCAGTGTTTGAACAACTAAGAAGTTCAATGTTTGAACAACTGAGAATTTGAATTTTTAGACTATATCCTATCATTGTGAGTACCGTCTCTCTGGTGATCTCTGTCTATATCCGTCTCATCCGATCAGCGTTTTAAAAACCGAGTTATTGATTTTGGAGTTCACTGCTTTTTAGGTTTTTATATTGTCACAGGTGACAGATTTGAATTCTCAGCAGCAGTATATAAATACTAGCTGGAGATTGTCTTTGGAACTGGAAAAATAAAATGGTTTGGTATCCTCAGAGCAACTCAGCACGTGCTTTATAATTAACTTTTTTTCTAGCGATCCAGTTAGCTGCTAGATAATTCTTTTGTTATTTTCCGAGTATTGATTGTGATTACATTTTTTTTTCCATTGAAACAATATCAGTGTTGGAAGAAAATAATATGAAATTCATCAGGCAACTCTCGGCTGAGGAGGCAGACTTTGTAATTACATTAATTTATCTTTACTCTCGTTATTGAAGGACCATTATGTAAATGAGGTTCCAACTTGAACAGATGGTAATGTTCTGTCGTATAGAGATGTGATGTCTGGAGTATTAAGGTGGAAAGTCCCACTTCTAACAGGAGGATCGTGTGAACGCGAGTATAAATAGGTGGGAGGCCACGATTGCCGGCAGATTTCAGCAGATCGGCTCATTTGACTCCGTTGGGAGTTAGAAGTCACTGGGGGTGTCAGAGACGCATTCAGATTTTCCTCTTCCAGTACAGTACAGATAATCTGATTTGTGCAAAACTTTCATATGTTTCTATTCCTTGACTTTTCTTTTGAAGTGTGAATTAATTGACTTACTATATATGTATATATGCATCCCATGCAGGTATATAAATATACATATAAGTAAAGGTTGGAAAAATCCATACGAAACATGACTAACTTAGCATTTAAGTTAATTGTATGCTAGCGTCGGTACGTGCCGGAATATTAACAGTGTATTATACAATAACCGTGTGATCGTCGTCAATGTAATACACCCATAAGAAAAACGGGAGAGTTTGCTTGCCTGCTACCCGGAGTGAAACATTGAAAAGATATGCCTGAGCTCCTTTGTCAACAATCGATGGATTGATTAGATGGGATATACACACACATATATATCTATAGAGTCCTTCTGTTAGGGCAGATCTCCATTGTTCTGTACTATTGTCTGGTGAATGGTTAACTCCAGAGTTTGTCTGGGGGGACCGAGGTTAGACAAACTTGCACACATTGGGCGGGGAAAAATTAAAACGGAAAATTTCCTTCTTTTAGTAAAAGTTACTGGCCAAGTGATGTGTAGTAGTGCAAGGAATAACTGTATTTTTGTGCAATGCTCTCATTTTCCATTTGAGTTCAGTTGCCTTTGCCTAGTAAATGGGGAATTAGACATTTAAGGACAATGGGCAAGAGACTGTTGATGGCTCTTAGCAATCAACTTAGTAGTATCAAATCTGTATTTGGTTTTGATGACTCTTCTGCAGAGAAGGAAGAAAAGGCGGTAGCAGGAGTGAAGAGGGAACCTATCGCATCAGAACAGTTCCTCCAAAAACTCAAACAGAAAAAGTCAGACAAACAGCTCAACATAGAAGTCAGGGTAAGATTTTTATTTTCAATTCTTTTTTTAAATTCTATTTTAGAAAGTAGAGAAAGTTTAATATTTGATTTTCACTAGAATATTTTTTTTCATTATCTCCTCTAAGAAAACCGTTTATGTTTACCAAAGAAAAAGAAAACAGTCAGAAATGATTGAATATGAGACACCCCTGGTAGTTTGATGCAGTCAGTCAACAAATGCTGCTGTTGACAGTGTAATGAAGTGTGTATATGCATCAGAAAATTGCAGAGATTCAATGAATTATTTCATGATGGTTTCCATTGATTCAGAAAATCGGCTGCTGAGTCTAAGATTGTCAAAGGAAAACATACTCTGATACTGCATTATTTATTATTGATAGGTCGCTCAAACCTGTCTCAAAAACTAAAATAGGGTGAGAAAATGGCCTCAGGCCAATTATTAAAATATATTAATTTACGGATAATAATTTAACAGAATTTTTCAAACTTTCTTGAAGATAATTTACATTATTTAAATCTGTGTACATCAATTCATTGAACAGTAAGAGGTTAAAATTTTCAGATTTGACTCATTTTCTTTTCACAAAAAATAAAAACTGGTAAGAATTGTAATTTATATGCATACAGCATCTGCTACAGCTGATTAAATTGAGCCATAAATATAAATATGTTAATACAAAAAATAGTAAATAGTCGCCACACAGGCAATTTTTTTCTCTACATTTGTCCCTTTCCCCTTGAAAAAAAAAATGAGAGAAAATTAAGCTGGATATTTAATGAAGTATATATACTTCTTAAAATTGAGAAATGTTTTATGTTGCATGGGTTAATAGCTTTATTGTAAAATGAATACCAGTAGTAAATACATCGGACTGCTATAGAATGTTAATCACCAGATTTTTATGAGTATTTTTCGTGCTGACAAAGAAAATGCCAAAATAGGAATAATTGCAATTTTATGATGAAATCTTGATATGGTATCCTGAGCGATGTCATACATTAGGTACTAAAGATTCAAGTATTCTTTTTCATATTCATTTCAAACTGCTCTGTATGCAGTTTGTGGGCAAGTAAAAGAAACTGTCTTATTGCTAATTAAGTATTTTATTTATAGTTACATTTCTATGTTAATATAGATATTTAATGGTAAATATAGTTAGGTCCGACGTATGGTTACTATGGCAACTGATTAAAGCTTGATAGCTTCGTACCAGGTGTATCATGTGCATTGGACTATAAACAGAATTCTCTACCCAGACATTAGAGATGTAAGAGATTTCTGGATACTAAGATACATTAAAAATAAATCTGATACTTCTTCTTGATGTTCCAGTGTAATATCTTCCAAGATGAAAGTCATAGATTTCATGGTCAATTCATTTTTCAAAAAAAAAATTTGAGAACTATCTCAATGTTTATTTTTTTATAAACCCCCCCCCCTTTTTTTTTAATGATTTTGATTTTAATTTATACATTTCAATTTGAAATCAATTTCCAAACTTTAGGATACATTTATTAAAGTTTCCTATTAAAGTTTGTTTCAAATATATTGGCCATTATCAATTGCATTTAAGCATGGGAATACTATAGTATTAAACACATGCAGTGTAACATCAGAGCGAATCTTAAAAGCAAGCCCCAGGTTTTCTTTGCATTAACTTATAGTCTTCAAATTAAAACCATTTAGGAAACTCTGGGTGTATATTTGGTAGGAAGGGGGGGTAGCTCTGGGTCTGCTGGAGAACCAGCATTTTTGTTCAATCATTTGTGAATCACCCCATTTTGTTTTACTGCCTGTACCCCCTTTGTCGGCATGTGGCATATTCCAAATACAGAAAGCAATTGAAACAATTTATTGTTGATGTTCAGAAGTGAGTGCAATCACTGAATTTCAAAATAATGTCAGATAAATTTCAATTTCACAAAAAAAAAATAGTTTTTAATGTTTTTAGGTCACCTGAGTAAACTCAGGTGACCTATTGCTATCTGTTTTCGTCCGTCATCGTGCGTCGTCCGTCGTCCATCGTGTGTTAACATTTGAACATTTTCAGCTTCTTCTCTGCAACCACTGAACCAATTTCAACCAAATTTGGCACAAAGCATCTATGGGTGAAGGGGAACAAAAATTGTGAATTTCATGATCCCTGCTCCCCTGGGGCCTGAGGGGTGGGGCCAAAACCACTAAAATTAATGCAATCTTTAAAAATCTTCTTCTTTACTCCTGGACATCAAGCAGTCAAACTGTTTGCATGATTGTAATCAGCAATGAGTCCTCTACCAAAATTGTGAAATTCATGGCCCTGGGGTCAGGGGTTCTAGTGCTAGGGCGGGGCTAAATATGTAGGTGGTGAAAATGCATTATTTCTTTGAAAATCTTCTTCTCTGCTCCTGGGTATTAAATAAACCAACTAAGTACATAGTTATGATGAGCAAGAGTGCCTCTACCAAAATTGTGAATTTTATGGCCCCAGGGTCAGGGGTTCTGGTGTTAGGGCGGGGCTCTATTGATTATGTAGTGAAAATACATGAATTCTTTGAAAATCTTCTTCTCTGCTCCTGGGTATTAAATAAACTAACTAAGTACATAGTTATGATGAGCAAGAGTGCCTCTACCAAAATTGTGAATTTTATGGCCCCAGGGTCAGGGGTTCTTGTTTTAGGGTGGGGCTCTAATGATTATATATAGTGAAATGCATGAATTCTTTGAACATCTTATCCTTTGCTCCTGGTTAATATACTAATGATCTAATTACATATTTAAGGCCAGGATTTATTTTATTTTCAGTTTTATAAAACCCTCCGCTCAAGGTTTTGAATTTTCAGAAAAAAATAAAAAAAATTTCTTTCCGATGTCAAATTTGAGTCGGGATCGATATTTCAAATTTACGAACTCGCACTTCCGGTTTTGAGATGAAACGGTGGGTAAATAAAGCTAGAACTGAGAAGACACCTTGGTTTAGTGTAAAATTCATCGATACGAGTGCCATTCAAAACGTTTCACCCGTTCAAAGGACAAATAAAATGCTGACGACTTTTTTGCACAATGACATGCTGGTGAGATAATTATGTATTCGTTTCAAAAGTATCTGTCTGTAAATTATTTTCCTCCCCCATGTTTTAAACTGCCCGTGGTAGCTATTGCATATTGCCAGCGACATTGTTTAGGTCTCTGTTATAGCTTACAGTCAAAGCATCATTCAATAGAAAATGTTGCTTATGCATCAGATGTAATGAATAAAACTAGGAGAAGTTAAGTCCATTTGAGGAAGAAATAAACAATAACCTGAAGAAATTAAAAAAAAAAATCAACTATTAAAAGGCAAGAATATACAAATATATACAGGCATGTAGTATCATCTGTATCAGCCAGAAAAATTATTTTATACTTAATTGAAAAAAAAGTTCACCCTACTCCTCAATACTCCCTGTCTGTTTTATGATAGGAATTATAATTTTAGGCTTCAAGTAAATTTTAGAACAATGTCTACACATTCACCTAACACATATTTTAAAAAATGAAGATATATTGAAAGACTTTTAAAGAATTGATTTTTAGAAATATATTTTGACCAACATCACAAAATTTATATAACTGGCCCAGACTGGCAGATGATGAAATAAGCAATTAAATGTTCTACTTTCCTATTGTAAGCATTATGTGTCCAGTGGTAAGGAGTCTATCAGAATAGCATAAAAAAAGATTGAACAATTGTTAATAATTGATTTATCAAAAAAAGATTTATTTCCTTCTCCTTCGGGACTTTTTTATTCTCATGTTCATAACTAAACCTAAACATAAAAAAAATGCTGGCCTTATAATGAAGAAAGGGGCCTCTTTCAAAATAGATAATTTCAGGGCTGCTGGGTCAGGGGTACCAGGGAGGTACTTTGACTAAAAATGAATTAATGCTTTGAAATGTGCCCTTTGATAAGCAATGGTGCCTCCTTCAAAATTTGTGAATTTCATGGCTTTTGGATTAAAACACGAGCCAAATACAATCGCTGGAAAGTTGTTACATGATACTCAGGTGACCTATAAGGCCCGTGGGCCTCTTGTTTTGTATGGATTACACATTTTGATCGTAAATCGTAATAGATATTATTGATATTTTTCATACATATATTTTCATTCATGTTTACAGATAAGGCCAGGTAAAATTAATCTTTAGATTCTCATCCTAATTTGCAAAAAAATTGGGGCGGGTGGGTGGATTTTATTTTTTATTTTTTATAATTGTTAATTTATATATAGGCCTAAGTATCAACAAAACAATGGATACCCCATACACATTTTTTTCATTACCTTAATGCAAATATGAATAGATTTAATTCTTTTCATATTCTTTTAAATATTTAAAGAATTTTTTTTCTTTAAAAGTTAAATATTTATTGTTAATTAACAAATTATCAAGTACACATTATACGGCACACCCTGAACAAAATGAGGTGGGGATACCAATAAATTGTGTATGCGTGACTTCTTATTTTGCAAAATCTATATAAATGTTCTAATAATTATTCTACTGAAAAATATAGGCCTTCTCTAAAGTCTGTCTACGATGATGTAGATTTTTTTTTATTTCAAAGCTAAGTCACACAGCTGGAGATCGTTATATATACCTTGACTTCCTCGTCTATTTTTACTTAGTTACAATCTCTCTACATACGAGGGTTGTCCCGTAAAATCGTGGACAAAGCGTTTTCCTTGAAAAGTAATGGGCGCACTAAGCTAAAATTTTCAGTAAATGTTTATTCATCATATTCAAGTGCATCATTATGTTTTTGATAATATAAAGACAAAAATAAAGATTTTATTATGCTTGAATGTGCACAGGGTACGGTCCTACGGCGCACAGTAAAAATAACAAGGTTATATTAGAGAATACACAAGAATTAATTCGTAATAAAAGTTTTCAATACATAAAAATGAGATGAAAAGTATCATAATTCGATTCCTTAATCAATTTTGTCGTCTTTATAAAAATTTCAAGGCATTTGGTTAAATTTTGACAGTTTCCC